CCCACGAAACAAAATTTCCGGTTACCGTGTTCGTAGATAATGAGAGGCGCCCGGTTGCCGGTTACCGTGTACGTAGATATTGAGGCTACGCGCATTTTCAGTTTTTCATTAGTTCGTTTAGATCTAATATTTGGAAAGTCCTTAGACCCCATTGTGAACAAGTGACGCTTCCGTTCACAAGCTGAGCGCACTTTCCCCCCAATGGCTTGATGATCGACGATTCTTTAAGTCCGTTCATCGAATGTACGTGTACCCAGCTTATTATATATTTGTGAAAGTTCATACTTTCGCCGCCTAAAACTTCCGAACTTTCGAATTTGACAAAATTAGCACAGTGTAGGTTCAGAATCATTTTATCGTATTTGTCAAAAATTATTGATTTTTGGCTTTATATCGGATTGGCAACTTCAACGTATTGGGAATAGATCTGACCTGTTACTTTTACCAAGAACACATTTTTGAAACACGCTGTCAATCATTTTAGTAGGTACCCCCTCTTTCAAATTACATGCACATTTCAGAAGAAATGAAAACTTTTGCTTAGTTGATCCGTTGATTTTCTACCCTGACTGCCAAAACAATCAGTAGATCTTCTGCCAACCAGTTCAGCGCGAAGGTCAAACTGAACTTTCGTCGAGTCAAGGACACACGCTTCGGTTTTTTTTTATAGCTCCAACGTTTTTCCCATTCGCACAGAAAGCTTTCAATCCCAGGATGCAACATCAGCGTGTTTTGTCACCCGCGCACAACACATCTCCAGGATTTCGTAAGCGCAGGTAAGAGTATATTTCATTCACTGGTGTTTTGTTTTGAACTTGTATAGCCTAATACGATCGTAAGTCGTAATATCAGCTGCTTGCTGACCTACGTCTAATTAAAGTTAGTGCAAGTCTAGTAATGGCCTACTGAAATTAGGATTTATAAGGACACACTACTTGGGCTGGCTTGTTTTACGAACAGCATTGGCAATATTCAGTAGTTCAATTCATGAGCTGAATGTTGGAATTACTTTAGTTCAGGGAGGACTGATGAAGAGTATGAGCAAGTTTTGGAAGGGAGGTGTGTGCATTTTCGAAACAAGTATATAGCCTTGTCACGAGTCACGGTGCGAAAGCTATGAGTTTGTGAACCACTTGCAAAGCCATAACATGAGCTTTGACCTGCTCTGACATTTTATCGATCGACTGACCTAGTACAGTGGAGTCCACTTATAACGAGTCCGGAAAAAAACGAGAAGTCTGTTATAAAGACACTATTCTAAAACCCCGTTTTCTTCTCTTCTTTATCTTTGTAAATAAAATACTGCTATAGCGCAGTCAGACAAACACGCCAGTCGGTTATAGCGGGGTATTCCTGCCGCTGTGCGCAGTGCATGGGCCATTTATACCTGATGAAAACCTCGCCAGTTGAGAAACCTGTTGGTAATCTAGCGAAACAAAGAAGGGGAGAGCCCATGTGTGTCAACAATGAAGGCCGGAGCGACTGAGTAGGGAGGGCATAACATGCGCAGACAAGCACAATGCATCGTGTGATAGGCAAGCGTAGGGCCTAAGCCTAGTTTAGATTATCAAGGACTACCATGTCTCTCACTTCTCCGATGGAGGTGTCACAGTTATTTGATGGATGGAGCGAATATGCGACGTGCGCAAGCTGACGGAATGCACCACAGGGTGTGGTGGGGTGGGGGAAAGCACAGCGGGTGAATTAGCCCAGAGCCCTTTTTTCTGATCACCAACGCCGAGCTGCCAGTCAACATCGCTAGATCCAGCGCTAGAGAAAGAAACCTGATTCGATTTTTGATCAAGTAAGACCCAGAGGCCTAGAGGTCATGTTGAAACAAAATCATCATCAGGGGAGATAGCAAAAGGAAATAAACAGAACACCAAACTCATACATTAGGCCTACTTTACAGTTTTCCTTGAATTCATTACTGGATCACTTATAGTGAAAATCCTGCTATAACGGACATTTTGCTCCGGTCCCCTCCCTCTCGTTATAACAGGATTCCACTGTAGAACAGACAAAATTTTAACCACATAATGCCAAATTCCCTCACTTTTACAGTCTTCAGTGGTCGTGCATAATTCTCTTTTCTCTACGACTTATTGATGCTTATAGTTTTGGGGCTAGATCAAGAATCTAGTAATTGATTCTGGCCAATTTCTATAGTCTATAGCCAGTTTGAAGTTTCCAGTTTTCCTCCAATTGTTTTCGTACCGGTATA